CTAGGTTGCCAGTCTCCAGGTGGAGCCTGGGGATCTTCTGGAATTACAAATGATCTCCAGAGATCAGTTCCCCTGGAGAAAATGACTGCTTTGGAGGGTGGTCTCTATGGCATTATACCTTGCTCAGGTCCCTCCCTTCTCCAAACCCTTCTCTCTCAGCTCTACTCACAAAATCTCCACGAATTTTCCAGCCCAAGTTGACAACCTTAACAGGGCCAGCCTAGGATCAAGCAAGGGATGGATCTTGCCCCAGGCAAGGTGGATGGCTGTACAGTGGATGCTGAGCCAGCTGTGACTTGAGCCCCAGAGGAGGTGGGCGCAGGGTTGCCAGGTCTCCACTGGTCACCCTCTCTTCCTGCCAGTGCTCCTTCAGTTGGTGGTATAATTATTTTTTTTAGATTGCTCGTGTTGCATGTGGCATGATGTCGTTTCAGGGGGAAACCTATAATTGACACCAAATTGCTATCGAAATTGCTAGAAACCATAGAGTTTCCTGCAGTTCTTAGAGTGACATGAAGTGATGTCATGGCCACATGCAACACCAGCACAGGAAGTTTTCAGGAAGAGCCTGAGCTGATGTGTGTATATATCTATATCTATACGTGTTTGTGTGTGTGCGCACGCGCACCTGAAAGTCATGGTGACCTTTGCTAACTGACCCCCCTACAGAGGGCCTGGGAGATATTCAGAGAGGTGACTGAATAAAGCCTGACCCTGCCTCCTGCCTCCGGTATGTCAAGGAGGTCTCTTATCCAGGGCTATTTTTGGGCAGGAACGCACAGGAACGGAGTTCCGGCTGGCTCCCAAGTTGGCCACGCCCAGCAGGAACTCATTAGCATAATAGGCCACACCCAACAGCAGAAATCCATTAGGATTGGCTTCATTAGGGGTGTGTGGCCTAACACGCAAAGGAGTTCCTGCTGCAAAAAAAGTCCCTGGCTTTTGACAACAAACAAGGTAAACAGAATAACAAACAAAAGGTGGGTGTGGCTGGATAACCACACTTCTGGGAACATGGGGGTGCGTCCTAATGTCCTAATGAGCTGTGCTGGCAGGGATGTGGCCTAATATGCTAATGAGTTTCTGGCGTTGGGTGTGGCCTATTATGCTAATGAGTTCCTGCTGGACTTTTTCTACAAAAAGAGCCCTGCTCCCATCCAAGTACTTGCCAGAGTCGACCCTGCTTAGCTTCCAAGATCGGGCTTGCCTGGGGGCTATCCAGGTCAGGGCAATAATGGGTATATTCTCTTTGCTGGGATACATTCTTTTTGCTGGGATACAAGTCCATTACCATGATATGGTCTATTTATGATAGTTCAGGAATAAAATAGACATTTTACGATTCATGAGTTCATATGTGTTGAACTCAGGGAAGGAGGTGCATGCTGAAAGTTTGGCCTGAGCCCAGAGAAATGACACCGGGGCCCTGGTGGCTCAACAGGAAGAGCTTCAGCCACCAGCCAGTGGTCTGCATGGCTGAATGGCAAAGGTATCCTCGGTCTTTCCAGCATTTAACTAAGCTCCAAGGTGGAAGTTAAGGTACTTCCCGCTTGAGCAATGGAAGCAGAGCTCAAGTGATGGCATGAGAAGGACACAGCCAGCCTCACGGGAAGCCCACGGCCGTCCCGCGGCGCTCCCAATTTCACAGGCCTGGCTTCTTCCCTGAGATGGAATCCCTTGGATAAATAACACAGAATGCTGAAATATGAACGGTGAACTTTAATATAATCTGTGCAAAAATGGCAAAAGGGTGTCGCAACAAGCTGAATGACTGCGCAGTAAAATCCTGAAATACATGAAGAAACCAGGTATTTAACCCACTGTGTACTCCCTTGAAAATAGACCTATTAGCCCGGGCTAACCCTATCTCTCTCGCCAGAGCTTGGAAGCTAAGCAGGGCTGACTCCGGTTAGTACTTGGGTTGGAGACCACCAAGGAAGCCTAGGGTTGCTATGCAGAGGAAGGGAATGGCAAACCACATCTACTCACCTTGCCTTGAAACCCCCCCGGAGGCAGAATGTCATGAGGAGGTAGCCATGAGTCAATTGCAACTTGACGGCACACTTCACTTTCCTGTACTCCCCCCAAAAAAACCCTCTTTATGTTAGCTCTTTCACAGGTCCCCTCTATCCCCATTTGAAGCTCGCTACTCCAGATCCTAGTCCCACACTAACCACTACACCACACTGGACTCTTTGGCCCTTCCTGAGAACAGGGTATGTGCGACCTAATGAAAACAGGGGAGAATATGGAGATTGCTCAAAGAATATCGTTGGGAAAAGAAGAAAGGTTTAGAATTATATTTCAGTATTCTGCCGGTTGCCTTTCTCTTCTAACTGTACTGTGGTTTTCCTTTGGTTTTTCTTGAAGCCATCAGATCTTGGAGATAACACAAACCGGCTAGGAAAGAGGGATTATACTAGTCCGGATTATCAACATATTCAAGGTGTGGTTACTGAACCTTAACAGTGTTCCGACTATTCAAAACTACATGCTCCATTTTGTATAATAATGGGACTGGCCAATCACAATATATGGATTTGCATAATGATTACTGGTGGGAGATTATGCAAATCAAGACAGGTGTTACCTCTCACAGAGCAGGAAATACCATAACTATGGGAAGTGGTGCAGTATTTTTAAGGTCCTGAATCAGATAGGACATATCCAAAATGATGCAAGAAACTCACCCTGGCAGAAGAAATGTCGCTATCTACATGGTTAACCACAACATTTTAACAAGCGAACTTTCTTATGCCTTCTTCATCCCCCTACAGTCCTACAATAGCAGAGATCCAGATCCAAAAATCATTGCCCGCACGCAGAGGAAACGATTTTCCGATCCACTCATCAGGCCACTCAGAGCTAACATTTGCCATGGAAATGCCACCAGAAATAGCATCCCAAGCAGCAAGTTGTCCCTTTTCCACTGATGATACTGAACTCAGCTGTAATCAAAGCAAATGTCCGTATCTGCTAATCACAAGGAGGTGACACACAGACAGAGCAGCGAGCTGAAATTTCAGTGGGTCTGTCTACTTTCCCTGCAAGTGGCTGGGGCTGCAGCATGGAAAGCCAGCCAACTGGTCTACAATTAATATTTCTAAAAATTTCTAAAATCAATGTTCTGACACTAGTGCTTGAGCTTTCTCATCATTAATGAACACATCCCAACCACAGCTGGGAAAATCTCTGCTCTTGGAAGTACAGCTATCCTCTCCTCTTCTGGCATAGTTCAAAAACGTGTATTTTCTCAAGGGTTTGAAATCAGCTCTTTTTTGGGACTTTGAAATTGCCACTATGGTGGTAAATCAGTGTTGCCAACCTCCAGGTGGGGCCTGGAGTTCTCCCAGAATTATAGCTGGTCTCCAGACAACAGAGATCAGTTCCCCTGGAGAAAATTGTTGCTCCAGAGGATGGACTCTACGGCATTGACCCTGCTGAGGTCCCTGCCCTCCCAAGCTCCACTTTCCCCGGGCTCCACTTCCCAAACTTCTAGGAGTTTCCCAACCCAGAGTTGAAAACCCTGGTGGGCAGGGCTATTTTTGGGCAGGAACGCACAGGAACGGAGTTCCGGCTGGCTCCTGAGTTGGCCACGCCCAGCAAGAACTCATTAGCATAATAGGCCACACCCAACAGCAGGAACTCATTAGGATTGGCTACATTAGAGGTGTGTGGCCTAACATGCAAAGGAGTTCCTGCTACAAAAAGAGCCCTGGTTGACAACAAACAAGGTAAACAGAATAAGAAGCAAAAGGTGGGTGTGGCTGGATGATCACACTTCTGGTAACACAGGGGTGTGGCCTCATATGCAAATGAGCTGTGCTGTCAGGGGTGTGGCCTAATATGCTAATATGTTTCTGCTGTTCGGTGTGGCTAATTATGCTAATGAGTTCCTGCTGGGGTTTTTCTTCAAAAAAAGCCCTACTGGTGGGTACTGTACAATGAAATGTTTTTCTATCTGTGTTGACTTTGAATGGATTTTTGAAGGGACTGAGATTGCTGTTGTCAAGTTCTTTGCTGTGTTTTATTGAACTGATTTGTTCTTTTTTCATCGCTGATGATTTTAGTATAGTTGTAGTTTTTAAGACACCTTGGGTACACTGAAGAGCAGGAGATAAGTTATTCAAATAACATTAGATTAAAGGCAGTGAAACCCATTTTGTCAATGACAGATGAATTACTGCTGTGGACTTTTTTTTTACCATGTTTTACTGCATTTCTGCTCATTTTAGCACTAAAATGTTCCAAGTTTATTATTAATTTTAATATGGCTGTGGTGTTTAAATGGTATTTCTCTTGTAAGTCCCCAACTCAAGGAGTAGAAAGGCGGTGTATATTATCCAAATAAAGGAATATAAATCAAATAAATTTATGCAAGTCAGAGGTGGCAATAAAACTCATTTTGCCATGGTTGGACTAATCTTCCCATTGGTTTATTACATTATCTGTTTTAGGAGCAACAATACATAATTTGCTAAGAGTCGGCCATAAATGTTACTCTGGTACATTAAAAGTGAGATGCCAGTACAGTTTCACACTTCCTTTGGGCTTTGGGGTTTGCTTAATAGTTGTGATAGAAGGCAGTTCTCCAAAGGAACTATTGATAGAGCTAGATAAATGCCAGAAGCTTTCCTACCCCTTAGGCACAGAACTCTCTCCTCCAGATTGGCTATTTCCTTCTCAAAAATGTCAATTCCCAAACGAATCCATCCTCCCAAATTGCTCTAATATAACAGATCATCACAACCTCCCAAGAAGACAGCTGTAAAAAAAATCCAGCACGAATGACGCCTGGCTCTTGCAAGCAGGCTACTCCAAAGCAAAATAGGACAGATATATGCAGATTTGCTTAATTGTCCTAACTTATTCTACCGACAGAAACTGTATTTCCTTGCAGTTGAATGTAAGACGCCTGCAGCGCATGAGCCAGGAGGGAATCTTTTGGGCTCAAAACAGTATATTAAAAGGACCGTGACAGATTCAGGCAAGAACTTTACCAGGTTGTCCAGCTCAGGGTCATCACTGAAGAATGGTTTGTGCTCCTGTTCTTGCTGGTGTACGAAATTCTCAATGTCTACATCGAAGCTGGCAGAAGTGATGCACTCGGAGCCCTGCGTCGCCTGCTCACACTTCTCAAACAGCAGCGTCAGAAGGGGGAATAGAGGATGCCTAAAGATACAGGAAAATGCAAGATCATTTCTGGGACTACAACAAGTCACCACAGGGGGATAAGCCAGTCCTATTTCCTCAGTGCACAAAGCAGCAATCTAGCATATACTCAACTCAGCTACACAAGGCTGGTGTGTCCTTCTGCATTGCTATCCTCGGCTTCCTGACTGTTTCGTTCGGATTAGTTTCGGGATTTAGGGATTTCTAACCCTTCCAACATTACTTCAAAAACTACCCACAAAAGAAGGTCAAATAAAAACATAAGTACAATTGCAGCTGAATCAGACCAAAAAGTTTATTTAGTACAGAGGGGGGAAATGGCAAATGGGGAATGGCAAAGTCTCCCCACAAACTGCTCTTTTTTATTTCTGTGGGGCATCATCGCAAACATTTGTGTGTAACTGCAGCTTGCCTCTTAACTGAGACCTGTTATGCTGCAAAAAGAAGCAGGAATTAGGCACTGGAATTTTTGAGGTGGTAGAATTTCTTGGACCGCTTCAGTTTACAAAGTGGAGAAGATCACATTTGTGAGTAATCCCTATGTAAACAATTATCTGCTTGCAGAATATTGGCACCACAGAGAATCAACCGGTCTAAGAACCTGCTTCTCTCTCTCTCTCTGAAAAGTAAGGCTTTTTAAAAAATTCAGTGCATTTTTATAAGGGGGAGAATACAGAAATGGCATTGCTGTTACATCTGTACACCACTTTGTATTTGTATGTTATTCTGTTATTAAGGAAAATGAATAAAATTACATTGTAAAAAAAAAAGAAATGGCATTGCTATCATCTGAAACTGTACAGTCTGTTCTACCACCCCAGAATTTTACCACTACATTTTCCTGCATGTGTAGACTAGACATAATGTAAGTAGGAAGAAGATTCTACCCTGGCCTTTTAGGCACAAGGGGAAATATTCAAAAATACTGACCCCCCCCCCCCATGCATTTGTTGTTCCTAAAGGAATGGCCATGCAATGATGGCTCCTGAGTAGCGGGTTTGAAGGTACATGATACAGGAATCTTGCTGAAACTAAACTTGTCTAGAACTGATCAGTACCTGAATGGGAGACCTCCTGGGAAACCTACATATATAGATTCAGGTGGGTAGCCATGTTGGTTTGAAGCAGCAGAGCAAAGTTTGAGTCCAGTGGCACCTTTAAGACCAACAACATTTTATTCAAGGTATAAGCGTTCATGTGCAAGCACACTTCTTCAGATACATATATAGTGTTGAGCAGGGGTCGTTTCGTAGAAAAAGAGCTAGGGGAACTCATTAGCATAACTCATTAGCATATGCCACACACCCTGACATCACCAGAAGTGTGTCATAAGGCCACACCCCCTGACATCACCGGACGTGTGTCATAAGGCCACACACCCCGCCCCCAATGGTCCCGGCCGCCGCCGGCCTTGCAGCTCCACTGCCGAGCCCCATGAGGGGCCCGGGGGTGGACCTGCAAGGCCGGCGGGAGTTCAAGGAAACCCCGCAAAGGCCCTCCCTGGCCCCAGGCAGGCAGGGGTGGGGAGAGGCAGGGAGGAAGCAACTTACCCTCCCTCTTCTCCTGCCTCCTCCTGGCTGAATGAGGGCCGGAAGCGGGGTGGCTGGAAGCAGGGGGCGGGGCTTTGTCATGTGCCCCGCGCCCCGTACCTCACCCGGGGGAACTGCGTTCCCCCGCGTTCCCCCTCGAAATGACCTCTGGTGTTGAGTTCAGTGATGGCAGTATATCAATAAATGACTCTGAATGTGTAGACAGGCATTCAGTCACATAAAGTGTTTTATTTTAAGTATCCCTGTCATGATGTCAATGACTTCTGGGAGTTTCCCATTTTAACACCTCTTCCACAGCCCCAGAGTTATCTTGCTACTAATCCCTTGGGAACAAACAAGATTCTGTCCTACTTATCATTCATATATCTAGTTTGGAAAGTAGTCTACAAATTTTATTGTATTCTGTCCTCCAAACTGTTTTCTTATTTCCCATTTTCACAGATGGGGATAGAAGTGCCATGAAGACACAAAGTACTCAGTCCTGCACAGCTCTGTGTGTGTGTGTAAAGTGCCTCCAAGTCACAGTTAACTTATGGTGATCCTGTAAGTTTTCAAGGCAAGAGACATTCAAAGCAATGCTCCCTCTAAGCTGCGAAGTCTTGTGAGCAAAAATTCTACTTTGTGAGCTACTGGCATTAAAGTTGTGAGCAAGCAATTTGGCTACTGCATGAATTAGTTTGTTCTGGTGCCATCCTTCCTGAGCTAAGACAAAAATGTGTGAACCGGGGGCTAAAAAAACTGTGAGCAAGCTCACACTAACTCAGCTTAGAGGGAACACTGATTCAGAGGTGGTTTGCCAGTGTCTGCCTCTGCTTAGCGACCTTGGTGGTCTTCCATCCAAATACTAACCAGAGCTGACCCTGCTTAGCTTCTGAGATCTGATGAGATAAGTCTAGTCTGGACCATCCAGGCCAAGATTTTACGGAGTTACTCCAGTCTAAACCAATTATTTCATGGGCTTAAATTTGGCTTCAATTTGGTAATTCCCTATGGGATTTGATTTACAGTGACATGCCCAAGGCCATATACGCGCTCATTTTGGACCAGTGTACAAAGCCACAATTTGCTTTAATCATTGTTTGAAAACCATGGTTGGGGGCTCCAAATGCACAACAGCCAGATCATGGTTTGGAATATGTTTTACTGTTTTTGTTTTCTGTTCACTCAGCTTCATAAATTAAGTCCTATCTTCATAGTGAAACAGTCTCTGGTGGCAGAATGAAAGCTCTAACTAGCCTCTTTTATATGTTACAATTACACAAGAAGTCCACCAATGGAAGTATGTGCTACCCACAATACTTCCATTATGTATAGTTGCTACTTCATGTGAATACCTCAGATGTGGAAGATCTGCATGCACATGGAAAATCAGCTTGTTGCCTTATTCACCTGAAAGGGCAACAATGTGTATCAGGAGCATTCTGGGTAATATATAGCCCCATTGGTGGGCTTCTGGTACATGGGGTATAAGAAATTAAAAAAGGGCAACTACAATTTGTCATTTTGAACATCATGTCCAATCACAGTAAGTCCAAAACTTTAAATCATGGTTTCTGGTTCTGGTTTCCAAGGCAATCTCAAACCATGATTTATTAATCATATGAAAACACAGTTCATAAACATGTTTTGACCTGATGTCTGAACTCAGTTGAAGCACAGGTAGGAAATGAAGCAGACTCTTCTAGGCCAAATCTGTGCATTGGACTCCAGCTGTATCCCCAAGCGAGTACTGGTTTCCCATAGATTTACACAGCCAATCACATCTCACTCAGGGCTGCTCCATGTAACATGTTGCTGCAAACACCTGTTATCAGATGTGTCTAGGCACATTTTCGATAAATTAATGCCATAAGTACACAAGGGATCAAACAGGAGCTTGAGGAAATAAGGCATATTTAGCACACTAGTGACCAAATTTAAGAGGCCCTGTGGTACCCAGACAACAACACCTGGAAAGAACAGTCCCTAGGGGCATGTTGACATGCACAACTTAGCCATGTCTGCTGCTAATCATAGTCTGAAAATCAAGTGATTACAGCTGCCAAAAGGAGGTTCTTAAGTCTGATTTTTAAAAGCAATTCTGGTGAGGAGGCAAAGGATCCATGTGACTCTGTATGTGCCCAGAGTCTCATTTAAACTGGGCTGCTATCCATGCAAATCAGCTACACGAGCTTTGCTGGCATGCCAGAGATCCATAGCCTTGGTAGCATTGTGATAACGTTCTAAACATGTGCAACTAAACAAGATGCTGGGTGTAGTGGTAACAACACATGGGTAAGTTCTTTAGCCTTCCCAGAGTCATGTATAAACTAGTCTTCACATACTGGAGTCACAGGTAATGGGGAAAGGAAACAGAGGAAACTTTGCTTTAAGAGGAAGTCCTGCCTCGAGATTTGGGAAGTGACATCATGGTCACAGAAACAGCTCCCTCAGGTACCAAACATTAGTCAGGTGTCCGTGGTCCATAGGCCCGAAGCTAGAAATGGTTATGCAAAAATGGCCCCATCACATATTATTAAATGATCAAAGTTCTGTTGCTGTCACATATCCAGTAATCACAAGGGGAAAAGAATCAGGAATACTCATTATTTGTATCATGTCTTGCAAACAGGACTGAGCCAGGAACAAAAAGGGTTGCATCAATCTACAGCAAAACAAAATACCCAGAGGTGGCGCAGAAGAGAGGTTGGTGCATTTGGCATTGTACAATAATATATTTTTCCCCAGAGAGAACAATCTCTCCTTTTCCTTCTCCTTCTTTCCATCTTCTGGGGTTAAGTCCCAGAATTGCATAATTCATAATTAAACTGCATTGCAAGGCTCCTGTATAATGCACTGATTCCCCCCTCCTCCTTCGTATCACAACACAATTCTCCTATGTGAGCTTTTTAGAGGCAGGTCCCATTCTTTTCTGGCAAATTTTAGACTAGTGCCGTGCTGCCTTTTCTCCAAAGAAAGTTAGTATCTTTTATACATGGCAGCGCACATGGTAGGGTTGCCCGGTGCCACCCAGCTACTGGTGGGTGATGGAGGACAAGGTTGCCAGCTCCAGGTTGGGAAACTCCTGGAGATTTGGGGGTGGGACTTGGGAAGGACAGGGAACTCAATGGGTACAATGCTACAGAGTCCACCCGCCAAGGCCTGTAGCCAATTTTTTTTTATTGGGGGAGGGGGGAAATGAGTACAGTGGTGGTCAGCCCATTTATTTATTTTATTATTTATTTATACTTTATTAGTTATTTACCAATTTCTATTTGAGACTCAAGATGGATTACATGGTATAGAACATGGGAATCAAACAGCATGAGAGATCTAATAAACAGTGCAATAGGACTAGGCTTACAAAAATTACAAAAATGCAAAAAAGTCTCAAACATGCTATGTCAAGAAATGCAGAAAATGGAATTACAAAAAATTCAAGCAATGCTGTAAGAGCATGATAGAACACAC